GTAGTAACTTAGAAGCAGAAAATTATTTCCTAATGTTCCATCAAGTATTGAGAATTTCATGAATGTACATTCAGCTTTCTGTATTGTTATGTAAATTGTATCAATAACAAATTTTGTTTTATTGACCGTTAACCTCAGTGACATACAAAATCCGTTCTACATTATCAAAGCTAAATTATAGTGAACATAACAACGTATTTGATTGTAAACATACTGAACTTATGAAATATGAACGAAAATATATTAATTTTCTTGTCTTTTATCGTAAGAAACTTGAAAGATACGGAAGTAGAATTTCTGGTTTGTCTGTCCGTTTTGTAGAAACGAATGCATCACTTTTTCTCAAGTAGTGATCATGTGACTAATAAACAAAGGTGAAAGCATTAGTCACAGTGTTTTAACCCTGTGGTATCACGTCTTAGAGAGTTCCTTTGATCTGGATATATATATATATACTAGAAAAACGTACCTACAGACGTGGACTTCATGAATATCAGTTTCTAATGGTATTGCAGTCACGGCTTTCTCTGTCTCAGGGTGTGATGGTCCTTTAAAATCCATACGCTTAAATAAAATCGTTTTCTTCAGAAGAAGAATAGCCTTCTTCTTCAGTATCTTCAGTACGAATCCTCATTTGAAATATATTATGTTTGTTTTGTATAATACCAATGGCCAGTGAAGTAGTAATTGAGGAATATTTAAATTTTCAATCATATGACTGTGTAAATAAAACAAATCTCTATAAACAAAATAAATAGGACACTCACCAAAATGAATTGTACACAGATGATGATCACATAATTTGAAAAGATTAACCACAAAATATACACTTGTAATAATAATTGTTCATTGATGTTTCAGTGTAAAATCATGAACTGAATAAGACAGTTGTCACACATACAAAAACATTTATTCACAAATCTAAGAAAAATCTCAGACTTAAGTATCACACATACTGAAAATATTGCTAACAAAACTTCAAGATATACTATTTATGAAAACATCTTAGTTGATAAAATATTGACCTATATATGTCTAACTTAGTCTTTTATGATAAATTGTTTTGTTTTGAATTTCGCGCAAAGCTACACGAGGGCTATCTGCGCTAGCCGTCCCTAATTTAGCAGTGTAAGACTAGAGGGAAGGCAGCTAGTCAACTCTTCGGATACTCTTTTACCAAGAACAGTGGGATTGATCGTCACATTATAACGCCCCCACGGCTGAAAGGGCGAGCATATTTGGTGTGACGGGGATTCGAACACGCGACCCGCAGACTGCGAGCCGAGCGCCCTAACCACCTGGCCATGAACAATTATAACAATTGTAAGTATTTAAAAATATAAATTAGACTAAACTTGTGAGCGAAATTATCAACACTACCCAGAAACAACTGACTCTGTTACCATCCTTTGTATAATGAAATCTCATATTTTTTACATGTTGATGTCTAAATAGGGATTACAAGTAGAATTTAATGGATCTTTCATTTTGGGAAATTATTCTAACTTGACTGACACACTCTGAACTTTTGACCAATTGTTGTATGTTGGGCAAAGTATTGAGTAGAAAGTATGCAATAATTGTATGCTAACTGAAATGTTCCATTAAATATTGAGAAATAGAATATCGTAAATATACATTTAGTGTTTTGTATCATTATGTAAAATGAAAGAACTATGTTTTCTGACTTTTAAATTCAGTGACATACAAAAGCTCTAATTAAAGTATGATGAACATTAGATTTATGTAGAAAATGTATTATTATGTAGATTGTAGAATTTGAACCATTTATTAAATAGTGACATTAATTGCTTTTCGTAAAATGTTTCTAGCATAAGGACTTCAGACTAAATATCAACAATGACCAAACTGAACTTTGATTTCTATCAAACCGTTATTTGTGATTCAATAAGTATCAATGTTAATGGCGTCAGTTAAAAAGAATACACATACATTCAACTTTGTATTTCCTACCTGCCATGTAAGTGATGTCAGCGACATCTATAATGTAGGAGTAATAAGTTCATTTAAATCTATCCTCAAACATTTATGGGAAAAAACGGTAAGTGTTGGTATTGTGTAATAATAATTAAACACATTTATTATGTAGCAAAATGATTTACTACAGATTTTATTAACTAGATTGACTAGTGAAGGGTGTTTCTGATGAAGAGCTTGATTTAAACGTTCCAGTTGCTGACTATAGATCTCTGCATTAACAGTTCGCTCTGGATTGAGGAGTTTGAAATGAATTACTAATGTCCCACCAAATGCAAAGCATCACTTTCTGCGGATGGAGTCCGGGTTTTGGAGTCGAAAGTGTTTTTTGTCTTGGAATGAGCCATTGTTTTAGGCGTTTAATATTCGCAAAGAGAATCAATTTTTCATCACCGGTGACAATTCTGTCCAAAAATGGTTCACGCGCATTACGCGCCAGAAGATACGAAGCAACGTTCACAAGTTAGAAACGAAGATCATCGGAGAGTTGCACCCAAACACCTTATTTATGGCATTTTCCCATATTCCTTACAGGTTAACGTATTGTTTTATGAGAGACGTATTTCGGGGCCATTTCACAAGTGGGTTAGACTCAACAAGCGTCTTCAGAGCATCAATATCAATTCCAACATATCGGCCCCTGTTATCACAGTTTTTAAGGCTAAAATAACCCGAACGAAATTTGCTGAACCATCGTTGACACTTACGAACGTTCTAAACATTTCCATAGACTTCTTTGATATTCTTTGTTTCTCTTCTTGTATTCAAACAGCATTAGATGCCGAGTGTGTGTCTCGTCGTGTGCCATCACTTTAAGGGATAAGAGTATACTAAACTTTACACATTATATAAGCTACACTAACGTGACGTTAAGGCTGTTCGTTTAACTATTACACGTGATGTACGGTACGTTTTTTTTTTGGGGGGGGGGGGTAATGAAAGTGTTCCAAAACACGACATAACTTCTTGACGACCTAATAGAATTATCTTTAATGGAGTCACAAACAGCTAAAATTTGTTGCTGTTGTTTGTTTAAGCTCAAAGCTACACAAAGGGGGAAAAAAACCCGTGTTTTAGTACGTTAAGTACACAAACTTTTTCAGAAAAAACTAAGACTTCCTTTAAAAAGTATGATTTTTTATTAAAAAAGCTTCCACTAACGTAAGAAAAAATCTTATATTTTTTAACACGAAAATTTTTTATTAACAAATATAATCGCTTACTCGCTCTACTACTTAAGAATTAAAGTTGCATTAAACGTTTATCGAAATTAAACAGTATACATTGCCAACCTGCAGCAACTTTAAGTCACGGTATTAGAGTGTTTATTTCTTAGCTGTAATTATGTTTTTAATAAAATTTATATAAAGAAATAAAACAGTTGTTGTTTGTTATTAAGCACAAAGTTACACAAAGGGATATCTGTGCTCTGCCAACCACGGGTATCGAAACACCATTTCTAGTAGTATAAGTCTGCAAACATACCACCGTGGGGCAAATAAAACAGAAGTGTGTAGATGTGATGTTTCATTCTGGTCTACCACACTATATACACCTATCTATTGCCGACGAGGCGTTTCACTCAATATCGAGAGAGCTTTTCAGGATGGCTAGGACACAACAAACATAGTACTGGTCGAAACGTTATTTATATAATCCATTTCTTAGAATAATAAGTGTTACTGTATTTGTCATGATATAAAAGACTGTTTAGATTAGATATTATTGATTAATTTATTTTGTGAGTGAATATTTTATTATTGTTTAGTTTTTTTATAATAATAGTTAAAAGCAGACGATTGTAGGAAGTTATGTTTATAATTAATTGATGTTGAGACTATCGAACATCGCTTGCAATACCATTAACGCTGAGAATGTAGATATTTCTAGAAGGCCAGACGATTAAGCGATACAGATATAAATAGTGTGAGACGAGTAAAAACGGCAAACAGACAAAAGCAGAAGAGAGTAAAGTTACGGGCAAGGAAAAGTTCGGTGTGAAATTAACTACCATAGAAGTGATAGGCCTAACGATTAACATAGGTCTAACGTTTAATATGTTAGAGTAAGACTAACAGTAAAAAAGAAGATAAGAAAAATTATTTATTCCGTCAAAGCGTGGTTCTAAAGTAATTGAATCAGCTTGAGTGCACTTTAACAAACGGAACAGAGGATATTTTGAAGAAAG